AACTTCAGTTACATTTTTCTATTAATCCCTGTAGGGGAAACTTCTTGCTGATGGCAGCGCTACCAGTCACTGCCTGGCCACCAGGGGGAACTCGGGCTTCAGTGTCTTGCCTAAGGACAATAACATATGGACTGGGAAGAATAGGAATCAAACCAACTTTCCAATTAAGATATGACCACTGCACTTTGAGCCACAGCTGCCCTTTTTACTTTAGCTTAACTCAAATCTCTGGACAAGTGATTTAATCTTCCAATCTGACTCAATGACAAAACTGTTCCATTAAGTGGTAATTCTACATTTCAGTGTGCAGCACAGTAGTCTTAAGTTTGGTCCAATATTAGTCATCCACTTTGAAAAGAACATGGTATGAGGACAATCTGCATGGTAGTTCTGGACATTGTGTACATTTTTCATGACAAGATATTTTCTGCCACATTGCCTTGAAATTACAATCACTACATTTAGTGATGCATAGGTGAAAGGTCACCAGCACTTTGAGGGACACTCATTTTGTAGCCTCTGCCAGTTTGTTCCAAGTTTGAATTTATTCCATGGTTGTCAAACTCTTACCCAGAAATCTAGTTTAAACAGGAAACTGATTTTCAAACCTGCCAGCATGAGCCCCCAGCTTCTTTGAATACCAGGATGAAGTTAGTCAAGCAGCTTTGACAGAAAGCACAATCATCCCCTATAATGAGAGCTCTGAAATTGGTAAACTAAAATATTGTGAACCCGACTACAGGTAAGCTGGAGTTGCCATTTCAGTGTGTAGTTAGTGTTGTACACTACTGCCCTCAAGTGACTAAAATGAGTAGAGCAGCCAGATCGTTTCTGGTCAAAGAAAAGCTCCAACTTTTCTACTGAAGGGTGATTAGATAGAGACCATGTGCCTCTACAAAGCATCACTGAACCATTTGATATCCCAAGTCATAGGTTTTGTTAACCATCTTCACTTCCATTACCCAGTGCAACAGTACTCATGCCCCGTTGAATGACTGCAACAGAGACCAAACAGTGCAGTTAAACCTTTATTTTCCAACATGTATAGATCAGAGAACACAAGGCAGTGCATGTTGAATGGGCGCTTTAAGAGACCAAACAAACTTCATTTTCCAATACATGCAGAGAATAATAAAGGCAGTGCATGGCCATTTAATTTTGTCACCTTTAGCCAAATCAACCCCAAACCTCCTTCTCCAGGGCAGCAATGTCCTCTGGCCCCGTTTAATACTCTCCCTCTTCCTCGCCATCACCTTCAGCTGAGTCAACCCCAACCTCCTCATAATCTTTCTCCAGAGCAGCCATGTCCTCTCTAGCCTCTGAGAACTCTCCCTCCTCCATACCCTCACCCACATACCAGTGAACAAAGGCACGCTTGGCGTACATCAGATCAAATTTGTGGTCCAGTCTAGCCCAGGCCTCTGCAATAGCAGTGGTGTTGCTCAGCATGCACACAGCTCTCTGGACCTTGGCCAGGTCCCCACCAGGAACTACAGTGGGTGGCTGGTAGTTTATGCCAACCTTGAAACCAGTGGGGCACCAGTCCACAAATTGGATGGTGCGTTTGGTCTTGATGGTGGCGATGGCAGCATTAACATCTTTGGGCACCACATCACCACGATACAGAAGGCAGCAGGCCATGTACTTGCCGTGGCGAGGGTCACATTTCACCATCTGATTGGCTGGCTCAAAGCAGGCGTTTGTGATTTCCGCCACTGTTAACTGCTCATGGTATGCTTTCTCAGCAGAGATGACAGGCGCATAGGTGGCCAGAGGGAAATGGATACGTGGGTATGGCACCAAGTTGGTCTGGAACTCTGTCAGATCAACATTGAGGGCACCATCAAAACGAAGGGAAGCAGTGATTGAGGACACAATCTGACTGATCAGCCTGTTCAGGTTAGTGTAAGTAGGACGCTCAATATCAAGGTTCCTACGGCAGATATCATAGATGGCCTCATTATCCACCATAAAGGCACAGTCAGAGTGCTCAAGGGTGGTGTGGGTGGTCAGGATGGAGTTGTAGGGCTCCACCACAGCAGTGGACACCTGGGGAGCTGGGTAGATTGAGAACTCCAGCTTGGACTTTTTGCCGTAGTCAACAGACAGACGCTCCATCAGCAGGGAAGTGAAACCAGAGCCAGTGCCACCTCCAAAGCTGTGGAAAACCAGGAAGCCCTGAAGACCAGTACACTGGTCAGCCTAAGGACCAAGAGGGAGACAGTGAGCAAATGTGATACAATACACTTTGGTTTGATATTTAGAGTCAAAATTAGGGACTTCCCTTGTGATACAGGTTACCCACCAGTTTGCGCATCCTGTCAAGCACAATGTCAATGATCTCTTTGCCAATTGTGTAGTGCCCACGGGCGTAGTTGTTGGCAGCATCCTCCTTGCCAGTGATCAGCTGCTCAGGGTGGAACAGCTGGCGGTAAGTTCCAGTGCGGACCTCATCTGAAAGTAAATTATAAATTAGAGGAAATCACTAGAAACTGAAATTTTTCAGATGCATGTTTAAAGACAGCTTACCAATAACAGTGGGCTCCAGATCCACAAACACAGCTCTTGGGACATGCTTTCCAGCCCCAGTCTCACTGAAGAAGGTGTTGAAAGAATCATCTCCTCCTCCAATGGTCTTGTCACTGGGCATCTGGCCATCAGGCTGGATCCCATGCTCCAGGCAGTAGAGCTCCCAGCAGGCATTTCCAATCTGGACACCAGCCTGGCCAACGTGCACAGAGATACACTCGCGCTGTGGAGAGAAAGGAAGAACTTAGTTTTGTACAAATTCATAAACTGCAGCAACAATAGGCTTGATTGGCTGCCATTTTCAGCTCTCTTGTAAAAGATACCACAAGACCCTGACTAACGCCACTTCATATTACTCAAGTCCACAATTTGATAGTGCTGGGAAATCTGCTAGAGTTTATTTTATACAATTACGTGAGCCAATATTATTCAATACATCATCAGTTAATTGACAGCTTTTGTGTAGACCCCCTCCCCCTCTTTGCGGACGCATTGTGTCTTTTTTTTGTTTAGTATTTGCAGTTTCTTCCCTAAATACTGGCTATGGATTATATTTTTGGGCTTGTGTTTAAGCTGCGGTGTGTTCTCTCAGGGGAGGAAAAAACCCCAGATCGAGTGTTTGCGGTACTTTTAAGTTAAAGAAAAAACATGTTGCGAGAACAAACCGTTTCATGACAATACTCTGTGGTGAACTAACCAAACACAGCTGTAAAAGATTTCTCTACCCGAGGTAATACTTACACAACCTAAAATATAAAGGCCCCATAAGCCTTTTGATGAAAAGCCTTTGTTTGAAAAAAAGCTGTGGCTGCAATTTGACAAAGGCAAGGCCTCTTCAAACAGGCGGCTGGGAAGTGTTTTCAGGCCGAATCATTGCAAAATTAGGTCAGCGCACAGACAGTAAATGCCTGAAACTGTCCGTCATGACTCAACTTGAGTTTAACCTTCCCAAGTTATACTAATTTACCCATTTAAGACAATTTAGTTAATCGTCCTACAGTTCTTCCGTCAGTGCCTTTCGTTTAACTAACGTTAATCTTAACATTAGCTGCAACGTGATAAATCATCATGAGTAAGAGAATTTTTACACTCACCATGTTTCCTTAACTTCGCGGAATACTTAGAGGTTTGAATAAAGAAAAGAGGAAGCAACACCGTTTGCTCTCACAAAAGGGACTTTAGGCGTCCTGTGTAAGAAGCAGCAAAGCTGATGCGAGCTTAGCTAGGCGTGGCCTTTTATAGTCTCCGAGCCGGCCGGAAAGAGCTACTGGATCCGATTGGTTAGAAGTCACGTGAGCACGTTTCCTATTGGTTAAAAATGAAACGGTCTTCTTTGAAACACCACCCGCTCTAAGAAAAAATGGGACCAAGGGGTAAACCCACTGTCCTTAAAACAACTGATCGTTCGTTCTGGAAGTGATTCCGGTGTTGTGTCGAGATATGTCCCCTAACCTTTTCCAGACTATAACTACAGAAGGGAGCGCTAGTAGAAACACAGTTTTAAGAGGGTGAAACACATCCTGAAGGGGGGATAGATTTCGACACAAGGTCGGTCCTCCATCTTGAATGTTCCGAAGGTTTTAGTTCTACTCAGAGGTTGGTCTATGTAGCTGATCTGAAACAGCCGCAGTTTTATACTGAAGTGGACCTACAAATAACAGAACCAATGTAAGACTCAACTGCGTTTTAATTGTTTTCAGATTCCACATCTACTTAAATGAATGGTTCTGCGTTAACTGGTCTAATTGTAAAAACCCCCCACTATGAACAATTTTCTTCATATTAGAATGATAGCTTTTCAAGGTCAAGCCTGTTTTTATTTCTGTATCATAACAGTAGGAGAGAGATGGAGAGTCTGTTATGTTTGAACAATAAATACATTAAATCAAATATTCTGTTCAGCCACGCCTGAGGCTGAAAATCCCTGTGTTTTGGCCATATTTTACATTTCCCTCTAAAACAATTGGGCTGATCAGTCATTTCTATAAACATTATAAACATAAGATGGATTATAAGATCGGCCACAATGAATGTACAAACAATAGCAATACATGCTTAGACTACGTTGTTTGAGCACAGTATAAATGTGTATGTGTATGTGTGTGTGTGTGTGTGGGGGGGGTATGGGCCGTCTAAGACACATGTGAGGGAAACGTGGATGAGAATTCATATCCTGCTGTATCACCAGGATGGCCCAAAGAGCCGAGCTCACAATGCCATGTCATACTGTGTCAGTGTTCTGTTCATCCAAGTGAATGTAGAACAGTATAACACGTGGTCGAGCGGTTATAACACATTATAACATATTCACCATGAAGGCTGATGCTTACCACGACTTTTTAATCCTAGGCTCTAGTGAACATATGACGCCGAGTGATTCAGGAAGAAACCGCCGGAAGATGGATGTTTCTGTGAGCCAATGGAAAGTAATGTCAGCAAAGGTAAGCCCGCCTTTATGCGAAATTGGCCAATCCTAGTCTGGGATGGTAACTTCCTCTACATCGAGGGAGTATGTCCCATTGTATGTATGGGCTATCCCCAGTGAGTGCTGCGATTGTTGAGGTGTAGTCTGTCAAATACGTGATTTATTCGGAGTTGTTTCATCTGTTACAACCGGCTGACGACTTGTGTCTCTGAATGCCATATGTGAATCTCACTAAAAAGTAGCGGGTTATTACAGACACAGCGGCGGTATCGGAGTAGGAATTTGCTCGCTAGCGCTATCTGAGCCACCTTGCAGTCCTGCTAGCACTGGAGCTAGTTAACGTTAGCAGCAGTTGTTTTGCAGTGTGAATCTGACGGACATCTGCTAAGTTATGTCTTCATCCAGAGGCTACTGCGTTTCAAAATAAGTTGTCGGAGTCAAGATAAAACATCAGTGGCTGTGGGCTCGCTAACGAAGCACCGAGCTAGCGAGCTAACACTGCCGGGGTGTCTTTCACAAAAGGGCAGTGAACAAGAGACTTGTTAGCCATATCAGCGCTGGCTTTAACTTATTCGGTTTGGGCAATCGCATAAAGAGCATTACAATCGTACAGAATGAATGGGTTCAGCACAGAGGAAGACAGCCACGATGGACCGCCTGCTCCGCCGTTTTATGGACAGAGCTGCTGTCTGATCGAAGACGGGGAGCGCTGCGGCAGGTCAGCTGGAAACGCCTCCTTCAGCAAGAGGATCCAAAAGAGCATATCCCAGAAGAAACTGAAACTGGACATCGACAAGAGTGTAAGTGAAACTACAAGATCAGGTTATTATATTTTGCAGTTAAATCAGTGATTGTGAGTATGAGTGTGAGATGATAGCTGGAAGTTAGCTGTTGGGGTAACTCTTCAGCTCTCAGCTAATGCTAGTTAGCGCCAGTTAACGTGAATAAACAAATGGCCATCTTTCCCTTGCTAACGTTACTGTGGCTGCGAATGGTCGTATTTTCGGTAGATAAGTCTGTTCTCAGTTTAAATACTAGGCTAACGGTAGCTGTGCTGTCTACGCGGACGACGTGCACGATTAAAGACAGCCCACATCAACTTGCAGTTTTGTCTCACTGCAACAGTTATCTCCGATACGCCTCCGCTGCTCTTCATAAAATGGCTGTTGCCAGGGAACCTTGTTGCTCCAGTCCAGTTACAGTAACCGACCTCATTTCAGAGTGGCACAGTAGTAGTACTTTTTGGGTTCAAGTACTCGAAAATGCACAGGGTAGCTCGAAGTTACTGGAACTATGTTCCTGATGGCAGGTTTGCTTGGTTTTTCTGTAGCTGGCATTTGTCTCACAGATTTGCTATTATATGTGGTACCTTTACGCATTTTTATTGAGCAAAGTCATACTTCCTGTGTCAGTGAGGGAAGGTTTTTGACCTAGACTGTTAACACAGACACATAACCAGAGCTGAACCACCACCCAGGCAAGTTTTAAGGCTACGGGCACTCCCCAGCCTCCCTGTTTTGCAACTTGTTGTAATGACGTTTATCTATTGCATTATGCTTGACCAACCATGCATCCAGGGCCTTTTACCTGCTCTGTAGTTTCAGTGAAAGCACTGTATTACTGAAGCAGTACAACCTGAGACAATCTTCCTGTATGGCTGCCTGTGTTAAGACAACATTAAACATTGGTGTGTTTCATGATAAGTTTGAATACTGCTGAAAAGTTAATATTCCTTCAAGTAAGTAATTGAAAATATTTTGTTATCAGAACTGAAAGTCGGGTATCATATTAGCATATTGAAGAACTTGATCGCCAAGCCCCACTATGCTGGACCCTGCTAAATTAAGTGGTTTTATAAATGGCAGACTGCTTTTACCTGCTCTGTAGTTTCAGTGAAAGCACTGTATTACTCAAGCAGTACAACCTGAGACAATCTTCCTGTATGGCTGCCTATGCTGGATCCTGCTAAATTAAGTGGTTTTATAAATGGCAGACTGCTCCTTCAGTGCTCATTAATATTTTGCAGGTGCGACACCTCTACATCTGTGATTTTCATAAGAACTTCATCCAGAGTGTGCGCAACAAGAGGAAGAGGAAGACCAGTGATGATGGAGGGGAATCCCCAGATCATGATGTGGAGGTGCCTGAGGTAATGTGGCCTGAGTGTTACGGACAAATACGCACATGATATGTGGGCTGTAAAGAGCACAGTTGCATTTCAGAGTAAGAGAACAGTGACAACATGATTAGAGGCCCTGAGAAATCTTAAAAGCATACAGTTATGGTGGAATTGTCAGAAGATGCTTGCCTAACCACCATCACTCTGCTGTGTTCAGTTTTCATTGTGTGGTTTTCATTTTTTATTGTTGTATTGAACCAGTTTTTCCAGAGATCATTAAAATTTCATCTGTTTTCAAAGCTGAGGAAGCAGCAGTCAGTCAGTGAAATGTGTTTAGGATGGAGGCGGGATGAGAAGTTACCACCTCTCATGATTCACTCACTGTTTCCAGGTCGACCTCTTCCAGCTGCAGGTGAACACCTTGAGACGCTACAAGCGACACTACAAACTGCAGACCAGGCCTGGCCTCAACAAGGCCCAGCTAGCAGAGGTAAACACACTGATGACTGAATTTGTTTGTTTGTTTGCAGCCTGTTTGGATGAAGGACACAACGTCTGTTCTGATACCACCATCAGTACCGTATATCAGGCTGAACTCAGGAACCTTAGCCTGCATTTGGACCAGGGGCAAAGTCCCTGCTCTCAAGACAAGTCAGTACAAGTGTCAAGCATTTATGGAGTCACATCTCACATCTCGATATTTCCTTGTATCTGTTTTGTATAGTGCCATTTCTTTGATATGGGTTTTAGATGTTTTTGCCTGCTTTTGATATGTGATGGAGGTTGCCCTCGGGTTTCCTAGTGTGTTTTACTCAGATGCATCTGTGTAAATAGTTTATGATTTCACTGATTGTTTATTGCTATCGGGTGTGAGATGTGAGTACATAAATGTCTGACATTTGTATTGACTTGTCTTAAAGGAGACTGGTTGAGATCAACATGTTAGCCTTCATAATACATCATGCAAACTTAGCGCATGGTCATTTACATTATCTGTGATTATAGTTTTTCATGACCAGCACCTGGTTTCAGGTGTGCATTCACTCAGATTTCCTAAGATACTTGTGCACTCTGAGTAGAAAACTAGAAACCTTGCCGGTGAATCCTTAATTTACATTTGCATAAACCACAGAGTCATATCATTGATGTAGCATGTGGCTTTGCATTTAACAGATTACATAGAATGGACTTGTGCAAATTAAACATTTTTAAAGAGGTGACGATCTTGGGTGTGCACAGGGCGTAGTTGTGCAGTGAAGCAAGAGGTTTACTGACTTAGTGGCTCGTAAAGTGCCCCATTGAGGTGTAAAGACCTGGCAGGTGGGACACACATGACTGGGACTTTTATTTACTCCGTGATCCTTGTGAATAACATCCTTCAGACATACATAACTGAATATACCGTGTTGCTCTCTGGTAGCTTGTGATGGATGTTTGTTTTTGACATTTAATCATTAATTGAATCACGTGTTAGTTTTAAGGCTATTTTTAGGTCCATATAGAGTTTGTATGGTTTTTGAAGAGGGTGATTTGACAGGTTTAAGGGGAACAGACCAGGACCTCGCTTTCTAATAAACAGTCCATCTACTGTAAGTGTGTTTTCTACAAATGTTGTAGTAAAATTCAATGCATGCATTACTTATGCTTTGTGATTTATGGGTTTTGATATAGCATAGCTTACAAAGGCAAATAGGCCATTTAACTCTGGAGTATTTTCTGCATCATCTTCATTGGCACAGCAGGCAACTCATGAAAACAGATGTTTTTCTTTTAACCTTCTCATTCTGCTCCTGTGCAGACGGTGAGTCGTCACTTCAGGAACATCCCTGTGAATGAGAAGGAGACCCTCACCTACTTTATTTACATGGTGAAGAGCAGCAAGAGCCGCTTGGACCAGAAAGGGGATGGCGGCAAACCGCTGGACTAAACCTCCTAAAAGCAACAACCACAGTGGCAGCAGTTACAACAGAGTCACAGTAATTCACACCTACAACAACAGCAACAGTTCAGACTCTGGGCCTTATTAACAGCAGCTCCTTCTGCAGCCCAGTGAGCTCCTCTGTCACACCACAACATGAGCCGTTGTTGTTCTCGGAGTACATTTCACAGAAATGGAGGAGACTTCACAGTGAGTTCACTTTAGCTCACTTTGCCCTCATCACATGTTGTTACAATGGCCCATCCTCCTTCAAGGTGTTTCCTCTTTCCTTTGCAAAAGTCAGGGCCGTAAAGACTTCTGAGGACCAGGACTCAGTCGGCAGGGGTTTACCTCACCATGCTGTGATGTAAACTTGTTGATATGTACAAAGGTGCAACTTCCAAACTCAAATAACTTGGTTGAATGCAATGTACAGTATAGTAGCCGCCTTAAGAGTAAAAAAACAAAACACATTTGTGTATTTCTCTTTTGCCAAGTCGACTGTTAACATGATGGCTGTGAGGAGTGCATGTGCCAAACAGGAACGCGTGTTGGAGCTGAATGGTGGGATTTTACTTTTTGTTGTTGTTATTGTGAATGAATGAATTGTTGGAAAGGGGCGCTGCCACAAAAAAACATATTCAATCTCAACATCTAAAACATAATACCAAATTGAGCTCTCTTTAAATCACCCTTTCCCACCTGGACGTGATGTATTGACAGACTGGTGGGGAATGATGTAGCAGTTGTCACTCTTGTCTCTGCTCTTGTAGACACACACACTGGTTAGTTTCTGTGCAACGCAGGTGTTGGTAGCTACTTCCATTTTTAACATTTTTGTAACACTTTCTCTTTAGTGAAGGAGTAATTATTAGTTCTTAGCTGTCATTTTAATGTTTATTGTGGACATCATACCTGAGTTAACAAGCAGAGCCCCCTCCCATTCAGAATAATGAACCACATTATATTTTTATGACAAATTGGGCCAGCCCCGCTGGCTCATTTGCATCCCCAGGAGGTTGTGAAGGTCAAACAGGAATCTAATTTGGCACCAAAAGTGCCCTCACACCATAACTATTTTTTTTTTTTTTTTTGTGTTGAATTTATGCCTATCTTTACTT